GAGGCTAAAGCCTCTGAGTAAGTCTCATGGTCAGGCCTTTGCCACATGGACCACGTCTCTTATATAAACTACTGTCAGCACTCTAGCTCCCATTGCCGCCGCGTCTATCCTGTTTCTATCTCTAATACCAAGTCTATGACTTCCCATGCCCTAGTCCCTTGTGTGCCACCTAACAAACTTTGTGGTTTAGCGCTAAACCTAACTAAAGCAAGCAGAACCACAACATTTGTGGGTTTGCACACAAGATACTAGGGCATGGGAAGTCATAAACTTGGTATTAGAGATAGAAACAGGATAGACGCGGAGGTAATTGGAGCTAGTGTTCTGACAGTAGTTTTTATAAGAGACGTGTTTCATGTAGCAAAGGCCTGACCATGAGACTTACTCAGAGGCTTTAGCCTCAAATTTGTCACTTAAACACAGGGTGGGACCAATAACGCTTTGGGTGACACAGATGGGGTGGCAGGGGTTGAGTGAAATATGTGAATCAGGTAGAAGGCAGACGGATCCTACGGGGCAAGAGAGAGACTGTGGTATGACCTAAGAAAGAAGGACTGCGTAACAATATGGCAGACTCTGACCAACATTCCCAGCACAAGGATAAAGGGCGGTAAGAAGGCCAGCGTGGAGTGCGGAGGGTTCTCATGAAAGCCGCTCAAAGGGCACACCATACCACAGTTAATTAAGCAAGTAAAATATTTTGACAGTGAAGGCGTGATTGAAGGATATAGAAAATGTGAATAGGTCAGCGCAAAATGGGAAATACCATACCTATTTAGCACACGTTTGGTCAAAGGATCGGCTTCACTTGTCTCTTTGACGAGTTGTAATATGGTGCTACAAATAGTAAAATTCACTGACGATGCCTAATACGATGCCGGCGAAACGTCTGGGAATGCACCACGTTCACGGTCCGATTTTGTAAATGATTATGCATACAATGGACTCAGGACAATGTGTGTTCCTCTAAGTCTTACTACTAATATGACCAAGTTGCGTAAACAAGGTTAAACAACTTCCATACATCGAAAGGAGACTGCGACAACACAAAAGGCCACACCCTCTTGGTCTTCATATCTTCGATCAAACAATAGAATTTTTAATATTCAATTTATCGTGTATTTACCCTTTATTACCAGTCGTCTTTTTTGTTATCACCTATTTACATTTATTACCATCACTAATATCATTAAACGAATTGCGGATATCACGAATGCCTATTATGAGCCATATCTAGTCAAATCTATTAGTATGCGAATAATTCTGCTTCGTTTTTCTTTACTTATTTATACCTGGAATGAATCTTATGAGTGAAAGGTGATGCTACTAACTTATAAAAGATAATAATAAGGAAAAATAATTATAAATTATGGCCATTTTTAATTCATTCCATAGAACAAAAAGAGGCTCGGACCATATAATTTACAATTAATTTATGTGGCAAAAATATAATGACTAAATATGTAGAAAATAATGCTTTATAGATCATATTTTTAAATACAAAGTTTATCTATTATAGCCATGGATTTAATAAATAATTTAACGCTTCCGTTTGTAAAGTAGACTATAGACTTTTGCATGGATTTTAAAATAAAGTTTCTCGAAGCCAAAATATAAATCACCATTAAATGGATATACTAACAAACAAATTTTAGTTTTTCAAAAATTGTAACATATAGCGAAAATATTACATTATTTTATTACCATCTGTTCCTAGAAAAATATTTGAAAGCCGAAGAATGACTAAGCAGAGAAAATATCATTCTTATATGATGATTCTCCAGCACAGAAGTACTCTAAATTTTAGTTCCTACAACGATAAAAATTAAATTTACCTTATATAGTACAGAGAGGAAATTATTTGTCTTATCAAGAAATGCTTGATTTACTCCAGGATGATCTATATCATGAACAATGGCAGAAAAAAGTGAACACATGAAGTCAAAGTTGCTTATAACATTTTTGACCTAAATTTCATTTATCAAAAAATGCAACAAACTTTAAGTTCTTTTAATAGGCAGTAAGAAGCCTGGGTAACATCGGCAGCATGTAGAGAGTTATGGTATGGGTTAGAAGTATGGTAGAACATTTCAATTTGACCTAATTTTAGATATAGGCAAAAATTATTTACGAAATAGTGAAAGTAGTTCTAAGTAATCAATACGATACTTTTTTATAAATCTAGACTTTTCGAAAAGAAACATTGATATTTGAGTTAAGGGTTGCCCTTGAGTAAGAACGAAGAGATAATACCATTGGTCATACGATGCAGAGGAAAAATATTAAAATTCCACTTAGAAATGTTTTTTAAAATGTTCTAAACGTAAACAAAACAAGTAATGACAGACCCAGCTACATTTAAAATAATTGAGATCAAGGACAGCAAGAAGAGCATAGGATTTTTTGAACTTGACTGTATCTCTGCGCTTATTAATTGTTGACTTTGATCTGATGCTTATGTAAAATGCAAGGTGCCAACCTTGATTCCATTAGAGAATAATTTGCTTTAGCCAGACCAGAATCGATAACACATTAGGTATAGTTACAGATTCGCATTTCCATCGTCAAACATTGAGATAATTTAAACAATAACTATTTCTTATAAATTACTATCTTTTATGAAAAAAATTACATTATTTGTAATTATTTTATTTTAAATAATATTTTACTGTTATTAAATAAATTTTAGAATTTTTGTTTACACTAATATATCTTTGGCGGCTTTTTTGATCATCTTATTATCGTTATATGGCAGATATTTTGGGTCTTGTTCGCGATTTTCATTTAAACAATAAGCGAATAGGCGAAACACAAAATGAGTTGATATTTGGTGACTTTGCTTGGTCTAAAAAAGCCAAGACTAACTATGTCATTTTTGGGTATGAATAATATATTTCCTTATTTCTTAGAACTGATAAAGGCAATTTACAAAAGGATTACTACACCTTGGAATGTGTGGTTTATCTCCTTAAGCATATTGATTTATCGCACGCTCAGTATGTCAGACAGGCTGCCGTAAGATCGATTTTTTTGCCTTTATTAACCAGGCTGCTGGTGTTCCCGTTGTACGACTGCCCGATAGAAAAGACCTTTTGGCTTTTCTTAATGGCGAAACTAACTCGGCTCCTGGAATTGACAGGGCTGCTCCGGTTGCTATTTCTCTCTCCAGGCCTGTTGCCAAGCAAGGTGGGTCGTTTGTTTTGGCTGTGGCTTCAACCGTATGTCTTAATAATCCTTTCATTCATCCTAATTAGTTAGCTAGCTTACTCTTTTTCATGTTTACTTGTATTCTTAGATTCGGCGTATCACTACAATGAAACAGAGTCAAAAAGACCCAGACTACTT